CCAGGAATGTTTTTAAACGTTTCGATAGAATGTGTGGAGTAAATGGAGCGGCTCGAAGCGCCACGGCTGCCTTTTGTAGTTTCCGATCGCATGGGGCGGTTATCCACGGCGATTATGCAACAATTGAACGAAATAATCGTCACATCCGACCACATCAGACCAACAGACCGATAATCACATAGCGTAATTCTCGCGGGATCATCGAGGGATTCGTCGAAGGTTCTGTAGAATGTGCTGCGTATTGTTTGTTTTCGCTGACTATGAGGGTCGTGTCTCATTATGATTTGGGATTGCTCCATAAGGCGATTTACGAATGCTCAACAGAAGGGTTCGATGGAACACGAACGTGCAATATCTATTTGAAATATTATTGAGACAGGGTTTAACATATTCACGACGACGCATGTTTTGGCTTTTGGTGGCGTGAGACCGACGCGGTTTTACGAGCGCCACCGCTTCACCTCACATCGCTGAATTTCGTGATGTTAACTTACAAAAAGTGAATAACTCAGAGTTATTTCGTTGGTTGCTAATACTTAGAGTGACCTAGGGGCACCATGGCAGTAATTCGATTTGAAGGACGCATGTAGTCAACATTTATTAGTTTTCACTACCAGAATGGGTGTAATTCGGAAGCTCTTCTTTGAAAACTTCACTGATAGTGCTGACAAGCTATGGAACGTATACCATGAGAAGCTGAGTTGGGACGAAATGGTGCCCCGGTAGCGTAACTGGTAGCGCACTTGCCCGGAAAGCGAGTGGTGCAGGTTCTAGTCCTGCCTGGGGCGAAAGTTTTGTTCACAACCCTGCACTCTTGTTAAACATTTACTGATAGTGTTTTAGGCCTAAGCCTTTCTTCAGGTAAAATGAATAAGCACAATTATAGCACATGAAGGCATTGTCAATACCAGGTGCATCCTATCAATGGATCTCGAAGGGATGAAAGGCTTGGTTAGCCAAACGGCTTACGAGCCAGCGTTTGACCTCTGGACTGCTAAGCACCGTCTCTTACCGCAATACCATTACCAACTCACTAGACACTGTAAATGTGTGCCAAAAATCCCAGTGTTAAAATGGACCTTGAGTTGGAGATACGCTGGTCGGTTCTAGTGTTTGAACAAAGTGTCCAGGGGCAATTGTATGGACCCTTGAACCCTAATTTAACGCGACCATAGGCGGATACCAGAGAATTCTCTGGAAATATACTGTCCGCAGCCTGTTTGTTGGCGTAAGTACATTTCCTTTTCACTGTCGGTACCCTCACAGTTATAGATGACGGCTTCTTTTGTTTGATTTTTTTTCCACAATTTTTCAAAACAGTACGCGTTTAGGCCAGCAAGTGTCCCTCGACAGTCAAACGAACCAGCATACCAACGTAGCGAAACGCTCCGCCTTATCAAGGAAGAGGAAGGCAAGCCGAGAGGTTTTCAATTTGCCCGTCCAGAGACGGTTTTAACGTTGTTTCAGAACAGTTTCACATTGCTTTCAGGAAATCTCTCCGATCATCCCAACCCGCAAGGTCTACCTGTGTGTTTCATTTGCAATAGACCAATTTTGTAAGTTTATCAGCACTTATCAGTCTCATATAACAGAAGCAACCTTCATTAGCATCATCAAATCGCATCACATTGACATCAAAAAGAATTCAAGAAGTATTACCACCAACATTGAGGATTCTCGGTGGTATAATAGCTGTGGGAAGGAGGAAGTATTTGTTAACCAAGCAGTATCGTACCGCCCGTTCGGTAGAATCGAACTCGACGAGGAGGTAGCGCCTCCGGAACTCCTTCGTATTCCGTGTTGTACAGGCCTGTAAGCATAGCGATGATGACGTTCAACATCGTTTCATGCTTTAGCTTACCATTACGATTGCCCAACACCTCACTCAGACTTCTTCTCATTCTGGTTGGTGTCACGGCAGATACCTGTAACACACGTCATTGAATATGAATATAAGGATGCGAGCCAACTGTTACAGCTACATGAATAAGGTACCCCTGCTAAACTGGAAGAAAAAGCCCAATCAAAGCCGCTAACACGCTAGCGCCGATGAGGTGAGATATACGTCGCTGCAATCTGGTAGAGATTCGTTTGTACACCTTTTCTCGTGAGCGTTTGATTCTACAATTGTTGAATCCCAACCGGACCAGTTTGAAAAATGTATTGGACGCCATCCTAGTCTACCTCACGATTGGGTAGCAGTTTCCCAAGAACGGTGATTGGAGTTTGAGGAAGTCATAGAGTGCCGCTATAGTCCCTCACGACGTTTTTTCACCGCTGGGGTGACTGAAGCACCAACTGGACAAGACGAGATCAGTGCTGCAGGGTGCCTGAGGGAACACCATTGAACCCCGATTGATTCCACTTCAACCAGGATCGCACACTGTGTGATCGCACTTCCGACGATATCCGCCGCTGCCTACGGTGCTTTCGGGCTGACAGTAATAATCAGACTCCCTATTATCCTCATCCCGTCCGATTGCTGGCTTCTGGGCCAAATTCTGCACTTCCTCAACAAAGAAACAAGAGCGAATATCAATTTAAAAAGGCTTGAACCGACGGCTGTTTAAAATTCTCACTCCCGACCTTCCGTGGAAAGGAAATAGCCCGATTTTTGGCGTTGAGTGGTAGACGGAAAAGCTATACACATTTCACCGATTGTTTATTTTAGAAAATTCGAAAGAGCCAAGCATCTAGCTTTTCAATTACCTTAATGTGTCAACGAGTTTTACAGAAACTATGCCACAACGTTTTGATAACTGTTTCGATTTTTCGAAAGCGTTTGTCGTACGCATACGGGGATGTGTTACCCTTTAGGTTCGAAAACACTCAACTGTCATTCTGCTACGCGAAACGCGCCTCCAAATCGGAACTACCCATCCACCCCTTTCTCATTCCGCTTTTTCTTCTCTTATTTACCTTCGCTTTCGAAAAACCAGAGAACGTTCGGTACACACCATACACCACAAGTGACGACAGCCCTTTAAGTAAATCTGGTTAAGTACTTCATAAAGACACCTAATTTTTGGTAAAGAATAGCTGTAATTAGTGAGAGCTGATAGAATACAACTGCAACAGGCTAATCATTCCATTGGCAGAAAACATTTGCCTTTTGTCGAGGCGGTCGTCACTTGTGGTGTGTGGTCTGCACCCAACGCTCTTCTCGTATTTTGAAAGGGAGGATACGTCTATCCGTTTGATCTTTGCGCAGCTTGGAAGCGCCTGCAATATGAATGCCTCAGTTAAATAAACATATGTGGCGAAAAATGGGAGGTGATTTGAGCTGAGAAGATCTTTTTTATTACGTAGATGACTTTGCTTGCATATATAGCACCCATTTTCGAGTACCATTTGACTCAACAACTGGGGCTATCAATGGTTGCTATCAGCGGTTCGTTGAATGTTCGGCTCTTGCCGAGATGGTCAATCCGTCATTTGCTACATCATTGTGGGAACAGCCGCGTCAAACGAGGCTGTAGTGTCGAGAATTTTTCTAACGAGTTCTCCTCTGCCGTGGTAGCCGGTGGGATTCATTCTACGAGAGGGAAAAAAATGAGAGGACAAAAATGAGAAAGAGGCTAGAACACTGCGGGCGGTTTGCCTATATCAGCTGTGGAAAAGTCTACGTGCTGGTTGCCAATTCTACTTCCTTTCCGTTCACTTGAGGTAAATAAATAAGGGCGCTATCGCAGGATACTGGGGCATCCTTCAGGACAGCCTAGGGGTCGGCAGGAGCTTCCGAGAATATGTGAAGACTAACGCGCCTTGGAGTCTCTCCTCCCGCGCCTAAGGCTCAGTCTGTTCTAACAAAAACGACATGTTTGTGTTTTTGAGTGCATTGCTATTATAATACAATGTCTCCGTATATTGCTCTGGCGCAAAAAATTTCCCAAATTTGTCCATTTTAGACGGCGTAAACTCTTCTGCTCGAATTCACATGGCTTTTTTGAGCATAAGCTTTCAGCTTAATAGCATTCTGTCACTCAAGGCTGACTGTGCGTTGAAGGCTATTAAATGTCCAAAATTCTGGACTGTTGATTTCAAGAGAAACCATAAGAATACAACAATGAATCAACAGCACCTCAGATCACCAAGGATTAGGTGCTCGTGCGGTCTCCTCCAAGTTGCACAGCGCCCTCAACCTCCATTCATAGCCATATCGTAGAATGCTATGGCAGATTTGGTCTCTACCAATGGCGTGCGTGACAGCCGAATAGGAGGCCTTCTCCCTCTCATATGAATCTTGAATCATCTGATCAATCTTTGTGAAACGGAAACATGGGCTGGACTGGTTGCCGTACCCAGGAAAAACGCTTCAAGAACCGGCCCCGTCTTGGTGAATATACTGATCACAGCCGAAGCCTTCTATTCATTAGCTCCAAACTTTCATGAATTTCAATTCGTGAAGCGACAAAAAGACAGTTCACTTACGCTGATGATGGCAGAAATGAGCATCACGATCAGATTCATGATTCTCATTTTGGAAACCTGAAAGAAGACCAATTGTCTATACATTCATAAAGAGAAGGCAAATAATCGAATACGAAGTGAATAATGGCACGTTTTCAGGGGAGTGATGGCACGCGCCGCCGGCCACGATCTGCACGGAGACTGTCTATCATGTGCAACCTGCGGAAGCAGCCTACGCAACGTTGGACATCACTTCATTGAAGGTTAATATTTCATCTCAGACCTTAGCAATTTTAGCTAGTCAAAAATGTTTGTGCTTCAGATAGATTCTACTGCGATGTGCATGGCCGTCAGAAGAAAGGACAAGGAGCACCCATGGATCCTGCGTTGGCAGTGTGAGTGACTTTTATGAACTGATTAAAGAGACTGGGGTTTCTATGGAGTGAGGCCTTGTCTTTGTGGTGCTGTAGAGAAGCGATGGAAAGTGAGAGTCTGTCAGGGGTAGTTTGCGTGAAGGAAATGAGGCGTGAATATGGCTAGAAACTGCTAGAAGTGAAAGAGTGATGATCACATGGCAGCGAAGCAGACTCACATGGCAGCGAAGCAGACGGCGAAGTGAGATATCCGGCGAGCAAATCAGAAACGATTGGTTAGTGTCTCTTGGAAAGAATTAGGCTTTCTCCTATATTTTCTTTTCAAATTTATTCGTGAGCGGTATTGACAACCACCAATGTCTTTTTTCGCGGTAGCAAACCTGTGCTTGTCTATCCTACCCTTTCAACGACATTTCTCTATGAACTGCAGGGGCTTTTCAGTCGCGTACTCACGGGGAGGGGAATTGAAAAAAAAAAACTCACTTGCCCCTCCCCATTCGAACGGGATCAGTTAAACTTGGATTAATGCGAACCGAATGACCTTAAGTGAATATTGAAGATCACATTACAATCCGTCACAACTTTCCTAATAGCCCTCTGTGCCGAAGACATCAGAAAATTTCCCACGGGAACATTGCGCATGATTCAAGCTCAACGAGGACCTGGACGTATAGTACACCATTACAACGTTATCTCAAACTCTGGTCGAAGCAGTCTTGCATAGTCAGAAATATTGTCTCTAGAAAGCTATTCACTATCGAATACTATGCGAAGAACTTTTGTATAGGTGGAGGAAGTGGAGGTTCATTGTTTGAAACTGAGTACGGTAGCGTAATTAGTATATGTATGTACCATCTTGGAACGACTATGGTAGGCCTCCCACAGCTCGACGGTGATAGCAGGTGGCATCATATCCTGAAGGCGGTGGGAGATGCGAAGGAAAGCTCTCTTATGCACATAAGGAACATCAAGGGATGTTTCACAGTGAAGCTTGGCACCAATAGCGACGTCCTGCGTTTGGTGATGTGCGCCATAGGCAAAGTGACTTTTTTGCCGTACCCTCCTCCCGGATATCAAGAAGAATTGCTTTGCTCAGCAGTTGAATCAAGCGGGGGATGCACAACTGATCGCACTAGGCTCGAAGCGTTTTTCATGGTTTTCCTAGTGGTGACAGCGCACTCTTCCTAATGTTATGCGAATTTCAATTCTGGGGATGCTAATCTTACTAGAAACTCATAACCCACAAAATTACTCTGCAATATAGATATACCAAAAACTCATTCAAACCAAACGTGTTCACCGTGGACGAACGAGAGAGTGCTACTCTGAATATGTCTGACTGTCACCAGAGACGAGGGCGGACTCAGCGAAACCCTGAGGTCCGTGAACTGGAAGAAGCACCGCCCATTTCTTCAGAGAATCATATTCCCTTGAAAACTGCCCATGAAATAGTGTAGGAAAGATGAGGTAAAAGGCGAAAATCGGTAAGACAGTTCGGAACGAAATCATCGAAGTTCATCTTGAATTCGGCATTCTCGATCTCTTAGAAGGGTTCATTCAGCGTTGGCCCAAAGTTTTCATCCCCGGATTCAACCTGATGGTGAATCAGGAAGAGTATCGAATCTTATGTCTTAGCTCCCATATTAATATGAATAAAATTTTTACGAAAAAAGAGATAAGCTATGAGCGGTTGGGTGGAGGAAAACGCTGCTGAGGTGGGCAATGCTCGTCATTTTGATAGCGGAATGGCTTCGCCCAAACAATAGAACTCTCCCATTTGTCATTTCCTCTAATGAGCCCAAAGTGCTTCACTATGGCTTGAGACACTAACGTCTCGCTCTAAAATTAAATTACAGAAGCTGTAAAATCGATCTCTCAAGCTGGAGGCGTTCCATGCAACGAATGCCTGTGAGTACACCAAAAAATAGGCATTGGTGAGGAAAGGCTCCTCCAAATTCCCAGTAAGAGATTGGAAAAGGCTTTGCCTATGAACGAAATTTCCGCTCCTCTGCAAATATCGGAGCTATTATGAAATTCTTCGAAGCCTTGGGTCAACTGTGGTCGATGCAGTTGAATGATATCTCGAACTGCTTCCGAATTATAGAGTCAAGGAGGCCCTTCTAAACGCTTAACTGGCGGAAGACCAACGCAGACCTGTCGGCGGGTCGACCGACATTGGGCTTTGGTTACTTGGAGTGGTTACCGAGTCGGCTGAGCTACGGAGGTGATCAAAGGAACGAAGACGACGAAGGGTCGTTTAATTAGCGGAAGTCCAACGTCGTTTAACCACTCGCACGAATGAGAAGAATCAACTCCAAAACAATTACGGGAGGATGCGCTGATTAGACAGGAGCGTGGTTATGCTGTTCCTTTTTCAACCCAAACATATAAAGCTTCGACGGGCTCCCAAACTTTGGGAACTGGGGAACATCAAGGCTTCTAATCATTCAAATAGGAAGGTTTCAGGGTAGAAAGCGGATGCTAACTACATAGGTAAACGAGAAAACAAGCTCGGGGTAATTTATTCTCAAACAAAACGCAACCCATTCGATTTTTTCGAAAATTGTATTATATGTAGAGAACATGAGCTACGTTTGTAAGCATAGAGTGAGCCTTAGAACAAGCCAGTGTTTTTATTAGTCAGAAATGGGTGGAGCTATTCAAGCGCTATTAATGGTGGTAATTGAATAGACAAATGAATGAAATATGGCGGGTTAGCCTTGGTTGGCTTTGGGTATCCATCCGCGGCCATATAGTATATATTGGTACCAACAACTTTCGTGAATGCCCCCCAAGGGGGAATTTCCTGAGGAAAGTGATTGGTTTTTTTTCTACGGATCACTGACCAACTACGATACTCTCTTGCTGCATAACACAACAGGTGACTACTTACTAGTAACTTGCGCCTTTGAATGGGTGCATTTTCTGGATTGCGAAAACAAGAACACTTTCCTCCCTTCAGTATTCCCCGAATTACTCCTTCCTGTAATAAGAATGAACTCATCAAATTCATTGCACTACATAGGGTCGCCATCGTTTTCATAATGAATCGGAGGAAGGCGTTATGAGCATTTCCTCTGCTTAGGACTGCTTCCTTATAGGCCGAATCGTCTTTCAGCACTCCGGCAAAAACACACCCTATCCAATTTTTTGCACTTACATCCATCCAGGAACTAATCTACCCTCACAAGAGAGGTCGCTCAGGGTGTGCCAAGCTTTTTCAAAACAGTCTTTTGCATGATATAGGGGCACAAACGGAAACCACGAAATCATGGTTCATTTATCCTGAACGGCCCTCTGAATACCAGAAAAGGGGGTCCCTAGTCATATCTTTTTCACTAGTTTTTCAATCAAAGTTCATTTGTAATTATTACTGACGGTCCTAATCATGAATATGGTACTAATTATTCATGCCAACTCAATTTTGTGCGAATTTTGAAACGTCAGCTCGAAATGCAAAAATTTGTCACCACGAGGAACCGAACTAGGGACCCGCTTCTCTGGAATTCAGAGGGCCGTTCAGGATAAACGAACCGTGCTCCTGTGGTGCCCATATGTGCCCCAATGTCATGCAAGAAACTATTTCAACAAAGCTTGGCACACCCTGACCGACCTCCCTTGTTAGGCTTAGGCGGAGATGTCCGGCCTTATGTGCGTTTTCCTGTTCAGGACCGAACCATTACAGGCCGAGTTGTGGGAGCACCTCAGGAATACTTCCACACTACACCGGTAACTATCAGAACCTACACTGTGAATGATTACATGTCACGAGCGCTTTCAAACTTATCTTTAGTACTTCTTTAGCACAACAGATCGACCCCCCTCCGAACTTCTTTCACTCAAAACTCATTTGGAAAGGTGGAAGCTAGCTTTATGACCAAATGCCCTCATGAGTGATACAGTTCACTTCAAATGACCATAAGTGACCGAGCTTCCTAGAATTCTGAGCTTGCCCGACCAACTTCAAGGAATCGAAAGTTCTTGAACGGCTCGTGCAGTGGCCTCTATACAAACATATTAGCAACGAAAAAGCGTGAAGTGATCTAAATAATTTCCAAAGGAGCAATAAGTTCATGAAGAACTACAGTAAAATCCATGAGGAGTAGCAACAAGAGACTCGGTCGCCTGACTTGCGTCATTGCTAGCTAACTGCCTCTGCTGAGATACGTCACGTACCCGACATCTATTCAGAATTGTAAACGAAATGATTGTCAATGCAAAATGAACCTTTGCCGTGATCTACGGGGACCACTTAAATGTTTGAGACGCTGCTGTCGGCCTACTAGGGCGGCGAGTCTTGGGGTTTTGTAAGAGTTGCGAATACTGTGATATGAGCCTTCTTATCCATGACCCTGGCGCGCGGATCCAGGTGCTAGACAGTACAAGTGTCATGATTTCTCGAATATTCGACTGTTTCCATCAAAATGTATTTTGGATGGAGGCTAGATACTCTCAGCAAGAACCTCTCTCTCGCTCTGAAACAACCGATGCTTAGTGCAGCTTTCTGCAGACACATAAAGAGAGGCATTTTGGGGCGACACAAAGGACAGCTCATTTGTGTTAATTTCTAAGTGCATCACAAAATGAAGTGTCAAAATGTTTATGGCAGACATTAAGTGAGCAAATGACGTAACGGAGGTGCTCCGTCACGAGCAAGAGCATTATATCTACTGAGTCACGTATCGTCTAAACTGCTCAGCTATGAATGGAAAACTTACAGAGTGCCGATGACCTCATTACCAGCGAACTAAAGATAGTGCTACAGGATGACTTATTTGGAATCGAAAGCTGTTCCTCAGTGATTTCCCTTGCGGAGAAGTGGAGCTAAACATTCTCTCCTCCTTTGCTAAATTAGGGAAGAAAGCTAGAGATAGAGCTCTTTGTTGTCACTTCACTGAAAAACGCCTAGAAGCAGTATAGTGAAGTTTAGAATGAGGGAGAGATGAAACTGGTACAGTAGGAGGGGGAGGGGGAAGTGGTTTCAGTTCAAGTGAAAACTGGTGTCAAAATATTTTGACAATTATTTCCACATTATCGAGAATGCTTGCATTTCAGGAAGACTTCACCAACATCAGGTAATCCTGAACGAGCGTCCGACGGTGGGCGATCATTCTATCAACCTGAAGTGATGTCTAGACGACCTCTTTCAGTGAGTCCAACTCCTCAGCATACCGGCACCCACATTCACTACGGAACACCGAAGACTCATGGAACACTCAGGTTAGTACGTAGCTCCGAAGAAAGGGCAGGGTATCTCCTTGGGGTTCACAGCTGGTGTGGTTGCATCAACCAGTTGGCATTTTACCGTTCATGTTAAGAAGCAGATAAACTCTGGGTGGTTTTACATTCCAAGCGGTACGAAGTGCACGCCGTTGACAATAAAAAGAGGAATCGGTTCAAAAAAAAAGCGCAACAGAAGGACTCTTTTGTTAGGACAGGCCAGCAACCGAGAATGAGGCCGTTTACGTGTTCACCCCCAACCTTTTCCCATCTAGCCTAACAAACATCTCGCTCTGACTGATAGCGCGTTAGACGGATAACTTAGAAGATAGGGCCGCTTGAAATGAAGTGTGCCATCATATAAAAGGCGGGCACAATGTTACCACTGGAAAGCATTGGCGGATGGGGAGATTTCAGGAAGTTACATCTTTCAGGTCTGGAATGTCACTGCGCTGCAATCAGCTTACTGTTCACCGTGAAAACCACAATTTGCTTCCTTTGCCGTCTTGCTGCTTCCAGTGGCCCAGGCATTTCACCTGTGCGCACTCATTTTAGCTATACAATGTCATTAAGTCAAACTCTCAAAATGTCGATTGCAAGCTATGGCCACTTGAAATTGAATCGCTCCGGAGCCTTGGAATGTCCATTCTCTTCCTTCAGAAAACGATGCTTCGTCATCTTGTGCCAATAGTCACAGAATTGCGTGAAGAAATAGCCAAACTGTGGAGAATGTGGGAATCCCCAGCAGGCTTCTTTGATTTTGTTGCCGTTGGTGCTAAGAGTATGTAGCGAAGGAATTTGGTGATGGTTCTGTTGGCTTTGGCATTCGGTCAACGTGAGGTAGGCGTAGTCGCCAAGTCCTGCGCAGCGTTCTTCTACAAGGCTCAGTTTCTAAGTGGCACCAGTTCGTTCTCGCGCGAGCGTAAACTAAGAATTACGTTTCCTAATCTCTTCGTTTTCTATTATTTCGGCCATGTGGGGTTCTGATTTCAATAATCGTCGGCGATCCCGGTTTCCGGTGTTACCTAGCAAACACTAAGCGTTTGTGAAGTCAGCGACTTTGCCGATGCTACTGACATTATGTGGCACTTGATTCTGATGCCGATTTGCCTTGCGAATCATACGCACGCAGGCAGTTGAGCACTTCAGCGCATGACCACTTCTAAAGATCCTTCTTCCGGTCTGTTCTCGTGTCGCTTGACAAGGATCTGGCGCCATGACACATCTGGCGAGGTCGCTGATCGCCCAGTGTTGCCGTTGGTTTCTCGGCCATCAAAGGATTGAGATGAATGCATTAAACGGAACCACGGCCATAAATATGTTATGGGGCTTCAAGAGTTGAGGAGTCTCGGTCACAACGACCCTTCGAATACGAATCAGAATAAAAGTATCACTCACAACTTCAACTACCGAGTGTAGAGAGCTGATAAAAAGCCCAACTGAAACAATAAATCAAAAAAGGTACCTCCCTAAAATTGTGTTCATTTCTGCAACAGCTCTGGTGGCATTCTAGAGGAGAATCACAAGAAGGATGTGTCTCATTTTCATCCTGCGCACTGTCTCAAAACGGTGAAGGAAGAAGTATTTGCCGTTGATCAAGTCCCTTTGAGACGCGCCACACATTGTACGTCTGCGAATCCCAGAGGCTTCTAGTTGAGCTATAGAGCCAGAAAACGATAGAGCCAGCCGACATGAAGTTTGTGCTTTTCTTCCCGACCCAGTTTGATACTAGCCAGCCTATTGGTGGTTTAGTGGAGACTCGATCTTTCATTTGATTCCGTGTGAGTAGCATCACTAGCCACTACACCGCCTCAGCCTACTCCCCTACTCAAAACCAAATTGATGATTTAATTGGTATTAAGAACGGCTGCGTGATGGCTTACCTCTTGCTTTGAAGTTTCTTCGGTGGCAAATAGATATTAACAACCACTACCGGGGCATTCAAAAAATGCCCCCACCAAATCTAGGAAAAGATAGCGCTAACCAGAAACTGTCAAACCAAAAACCCAGGAGGTCATACCAGTTCCATGCTGGTCTACGCACTCGCTCATTAGGTTCTATCACAAGTACATAGGTATATGAAAACACATTAAGCCCCATTGTACGGAGAAGCTAAGTGGAAACTTTCGATCACAGCGATCTGCTTGGCTCAATTAATACGATACCAAAAAAACATGTCTGCGTGAGTCATAAAGCTCCAGAGGCACTCCCCAGGATGAAACCGTTGATTGGTGGTGGCTCTTGAACCACTAAAATGAGCTCATTAATACAAAGTAAGCCGGCAGTAAGAAAATAGGATAAGAATCCATCGAAAGGAGGGTCTTGCCCACTTCTGTGCTAACGCAGTTAGAAACAGTGCGTACAAGAGAAAGGATGAGCGAGAGAGCATAACAAATGGGGAGCGCAGGCACCAGCATGATGCGTGGGTAGAAATAAAAGTGGTCGAAGCAGTTTTTGCCCAGTCTCATTGTATAAACGGGGAGCGCGGGCAAATCCGCATCTCTCGCAATAGTACGCACCAAAAGGGTTCATCCAAACTCAAATTGTAGAACAGAAATTATTCCTCGAGGTAAAGGTAAGGGAGGAGGGCGAAATTGGTGTAGTGGCAAGTGGCACGCTTACTACGCGAGCGGCCGTTGATCAAATCCTGAGTCGTGAGTCGCCCGGGCCAACCAATTCTTCCATCCCTCCGGGGTCGGTTAATTGGTACCAGACTTGTCTGGTAGGATAAAAAATACTGACTTGTACATCGGCTGGCCCCCGCAAGTCATTATAGAGGGCACATCGCATTGAAATGCCACTACTAATGCAAAAATGGAAGTAGAATGCGCGCCGCATCCCAGAAAGAGATTCATCAACGACAAATACTTTATCCTTTAAAGGTAAGGGAGACAGTGATCCTATTCATCTCAACACATACTGCACAGTTGGCTATGCCAAGATGTG